TGGTATGTCGATTCAATTATTGATAAGGTAGTTTGTTGTGAATCTGATATTTCTTGATCTGTCGTGTGGTTATTTTGGAATCAGGTTTAGAATTAAATAAGAATGTGGTTAATAATGTTAAGTAATCCGAATAATATTTTTAAAAAATTAAGTGCAAAACTCTAGGTTTAATAGCAATAATATACCATTGTTAAATAATTTTCTTCGTTTTATTCCAGCTTATAAATATAGTACCGTAAGTAAGTTGAACAAAAAAAATATATATCGATAAAATAATGAAATATATTAAATTTAAACTTACAATCATCATTTTTATCTTCAATAGTGTGTTTTTTTAAAGTTGACGGTGGCAAGTTAGTCGATGAATTTAGATTGTTAGAATTTTTTAAGAGTTCGGAACTGTATATCCATTTAATTAAAAGAATCATTAATTTATTGCTTTCAAATCTTATCCACAACTATATAAAACAAAAAGAAATCATGTTTACTTACGTAAGATCCAATGAAACAATGCTAATATTTTGAGAAGAAGAATCTGTAGTGCCTGATGTAAAAGATTCAGAACTTTTAAATAAACTTGAAAGCATCAATTCTATTGTAGAATTTAATAATTTGCTGTGTGTTTTAGAATGAGGATGCATATTTTTAATTATAAACTTTCCGGATTCAAGCAATTCCTGTCGTTTATTTTCAGCTTCTATAAAAATTTTATCTATTTTCCAATACCTAGAATTTATTTCACTATATATTTCATTAATAGATGGCCTTTTTAAGGGATCCAAATGCCAACATTTTTGCATTAAAATAGCCCAGCATTGTGGTGTATCTTCTGTAATAACTGGTCGTAACGGTAATGTTTTATCACATATATCAAGCATAAGATGTAAATCATATGCCCGATCATAGAAAGGGCGACATCCGGATGTAAGTTCCCACATAATCATTCCTAAGCTGTAAATATCTGAATTAAATGAGTATATCTTTTTGATAAACACTTCGGGTGCAATATATGGCATAATTCCATATATTTTAGGCTCTGAATTTCTCACGTTATTTTTTGCTGGACGACTAAATCCTAAATCTGTAATTAAGGAATTATATTTACTTATTAATATGTTTCCATCATGTATATCACGATGTATAATTTTGTTTTCATGAATCCATTTAATTCCAGTGACAATATTTCTGAGAAGGAGTCGTTTTATTTTCCAAGTAATTTGGTTAAATTTATGAAATAAATAACAATTTAGACTTCCATTGGACATATATGGCATAACAAAAATATAATCATTTGTCTTTGGATTTTGAGACACCCCATAA